GTGGTTTAGAATTCTTCCTGTTTTTTTTTTTTTAATTTTTATTTCTTTACATGATGATTTGCCTTAGTGGTGTTTGATGGGAGGTACAGATGCATGAATGTCTAGAAGCAGGGAAAATACTATAACATAAAGGCCTCCTGTGTTATTACCAGGCCTGAGTTTTGATTCAGGTGAAGATGATTGAATTTGGTAAGCAAAAATTGCTTCTAGTCTTCCTTTCCCTTTTCAGATTGGTGGGAATGATGCTTCAACTTAGAGACAGAGTATAGCTGCTCATTCATTATGTTTCTATTTATTATATTTCTCTATTTCTATTCATTATAGTTCTACTTCGGTGGGTATGCCTAGACAATACAAGAGTGAACATCAATAGCATTCTAACAATATCCACAGTAGGCAAATGTAAGAGATTACATGAGAGAGAGAGAGAGAGAGAGAGAGAGAGAGAGAGAGAGAGAGAGAGAGAGAGATGGAAAGAGATTAGATGGTGTATGTAATAGGAAAAAATATTACAATGATTTATACTGTACTCGACAGACTATAGCCTATAGTAGCATACAAAATAGTGTGGGATTACCCAACAGTAAAATAGGGTACTATGGAAGGGCAACAGAACCTACCTGGAAGGAATAAATTAAGATTTCCTGGAGAATGCATGTTTAGGTTTAGATCAAAAGGCAAAGTCTGAATCTGCCAGATCCTACACCTGGCTGCACATTGTGTTCTGTAGGAAACTTGTCAGATTTAGGGATGCCTGGACCCCACCACAGTCATTCCAGTTTATTTCTTGGGTGAGACCCAGGAATATATGCTTTAGAAGCTCTCCAAGGATTCTCATGACAAGGTAGAAGAATCAGTCAAATGTTTTTAATCAATACAGAAAGGATATGGGGAAAATTCCTAAATAAATCAGGGTACGTTTTAAAACTCAAAAAATGTTTATTCCACCTGGAGCAATATATTTAGGGGTGGGTGTGTGAATAAATGTTATGAAACAAAATTTCTGATCTCTCCATCCTTTGTGTTATAGTCTATTGCCCTCATAACAGTTCATTTTGAACTTGTGTTAATAAAATCATGACACAGAAATGATGGTTCTCCATGTCTTCAGGAGGATTGGGACATCCAGGGAGAATTTGGACCACTTCATTTGTGCAATGTTGATATCTTGTTGGGCAAGTATGAGTCCTTGAATTTTCCAGAACTCTGTGTTCTGTTGTATCTATGCTCTCATACTTACCATTTCTTTTCCTCTTCTTTTCAGTGTGAAATTTAATTCATCCTTCATTACTCAGCTCAATGGGTTACATAATAATACTTGAGTAACTGTGGAGCACTTAGACTCCCTCCAACAAAGCACTAAAGCTCTTCCTAGTAGGAAAGTAGTGTGGATTGCGAGTGGGTGTGGCTATGTTCTAATACATACTTTACTAATGAATGCTGAAAGTTTGAAACAGCTTAATGTCTCATGAAATAATTTTAATTTTAAACCATTTGATATCTAAACTAATGTTTTCTAATGTATCATATAAAAACAGTTACAAACAGAATTTTACCTGTTTTCCCAGCAACCATTCTCACCCATCATTACAAATACTTAGGCTATTCTGGCAAATCATTTTATTGTTTTCATTTTAGAGATATGAGAGCTGCAGGCAGAGCTGTTCAGTACAATGCCCAAATTCCACAGGGGTTAAGTGGCATAGGTAGAATTCAGAAGCAGCTTGGCTCTTTTCAACACTATATAATGCTGCTGTTCACTTCTGGTCATAGGAATATGTGAAGAATTTTAGAGGAGAAAGTAAAGAAAAAATATCAAAGTACTGTGAAATGTTTAGTAATTCTTGTAGATGCTGAAGGCAACAGGAAAGAAAGGATCAGAGACTTGGGGTCAAATTGATGAGTGAGGATCAACAGGTTACAATTGAAAGGATTTATTGATACCTGGAACTCAATAATTTTTGTTTCATAACTAGAAAATCTTGTGAATTCCAGAAGATGTTTCCTATATATTTTCATGTGTTTCACATTCAATCAACATTTCATATTCTGTGGTGGGTGCGAGCGTGCCTGCATGTGTGTGTGCATGTGTGCGTGTGTGTGTGTATGTGTGTGTGTGTGTGTGTGTGTGTGTGTGTGTGTTATGTGTATTTTGTGACTAACTTTCCTCTGAAGTTTGGGAAAACATGCAAATATAGACAAATAATTAAATGATAAAACCATAAGTTCAAGGGGCTATGCTAGATATTAGCACACCTAACAGCTTCAGGAGGCACAGGATGTTTTCAGGAGGAGGTAACTTACTAGTTCTACTTATTTTTTCAAGAGAGGTAAACCTAAGTAGTTAAAATAGGGGCCATAGGATTTGTTTATAAAGACTCCAAGGTAGACAAAAGACAAGCTTTGTGGATAGCGATAGTATGGCAGAGCACTGAGTGAAAAATGAATTAGTAGATAAGGAGAGGTAAGAATGAATTTGCAGTGGTTGTAAAACTGGACAAATGAGTGTCTTCAGATCATTAAGGTTTTACATGTAGGGAATGTGGACTACCCTTGAAAGTTGGTGAGATTCTCTGAAGAAATTTAAACACTATGGTCACTTAAAAATTTTTCTGAAAGCTCACTGAAGCTGTAATATTCAGATTGATGGAAAACAACATGAAACTCAGTTGAATGGTGTACTACACAGATTTCTTAATAAAATCCTGAGAAAATCAGTTTATAAACAGGATTCATTTTGGTTCATGGTGCCAGTTTATTATCCATTGCCTCTTATTATTTTTGGATTGATGAGTCATTCTGTTGGGGCAGGAAGCAAGTTGTGGTGCAAAGCTGACCACTCCATGGAAGCTGGTAGCAAAGATAGTTGAAGAAGCTGGGGTTAGGAGCAACCCTGTTGTCGCCTAACTTACTCTACTAGGTCCCATCTCTTAAAGGTTCCACCAACTCTCAGTAGCACCACAGGCTGGGAATCCAGTCGTCAACACGTGGGTCTTCAGGGAATATTCAAGTTCCAAATTGTATGAAGTGGCTTTCATAGTAGTGTGACAGACTTTGGTGTTCTGTTCCACCATTTAAATAAGCTTACAGGTATGCAGTAATATCAGAAAATAATGTTATAGTATAAAATATTGTGATGAGTTAGACTATGTGAAATGTCTAAGCATAGTTTTCAATACCAGTTCAAAACAGAATTAAAATAGTAAGGACAGTTAAGAATTTCTTGGAATATTGGAAATGTTTTAATAAGTTATTGCTTTTAATATTTAAATAGAGCTAACATGTATATGAAACAAATTCTTCTGTTGCTGAGATTAAAATATGTAACACTTAGCTTTTAAAGGAAGCTAGTTTTACTTTTGTGCTGAGATTCAGTGAGTTCAATCTATAATTTATTAGCGCCAGGGAAGAAATAGCATGGCAGAAGGGTCAAGGGCCTGGTAAAAGAAAGTTGTTTATTGTATCACAGACAAGAAGCAGAAGGGGAAGAGGAGCCAGGGACAAGAATCACCCTTCCATTCACCCTGTTCTGATCAAGCTTCTGTTCTGAATTATACAGTTAGTGACTAAACTTATTAATAGGTTAATAACTGATGACTGTAACACCCTTATGATCCAGTCACCTCCCAAACTTGTTGGACTTTTGAGGGACATTTTAAACATGTACAATTACAGGAAAGTTTATTTATCTGCTGTATTGTGAGTACTATAAATAAAATAACTGAATTCCAAGTGGATGAATTTATTTAGTGTCCTTGAACAAAAACTTTGACTTGATTAAATTTTACTTTTTAAAAAAATTTGATTTAAATGCCCTTTTAGGAAAAAAGAAAACAAATGAAACAATTATTATATGTACCTAATTTTTACTGGCTTTTTGTGGAGTGAATTTTGATTTCATAGTATGTGTTTTTACAAGCACTTTGTCAAACTTTGCAAAAGGAGTCTTACTTTGAATCTTGTGCAGTGTACATTTTTTTAAAAACTCATGTATTTTGCAGTAAAATAAACCAAATATGACAAAAACTTGTGGCCCTGGAAAAGACCATCATGATAAATGATACCATAGAGAAATGGAAACTTCTGGTACACTGTGAGCTATAAGCCTAGTTTTGACCATGACTGTGGGGCTGACCATTATATGTGCTGCCTTCTTTTCTTTTCTGGATTACCATGATCAGGCTGTGGTCATGTCTGTCTTGGAGTCTTATTTAGCTCATTTTGAGAATGGCTTTTCCAAAAGATAAAATAAGCAAATAAGATATGCTTCATTTTTTTCAGTAATAGTAATTTATATCATGAAACATGAATTTAATTTAAAATAAATATCGGCATCAGGAATCAGTTAACTGGGTCAAGATAATTTTAGACTTTCATATGTATAAGTTTCTGCAGATTTTTCTTCTGTGGTGTGTAACAGAGTGATGAAGTGGAAAAAAAATCATAGCCTTGGGATTTGCACAGAATGCAGGAGTATTCTTAGCTTGCTGTTCGATTTTTAGTTCTCATCTGAAGACTTGGAATAAGAGGATTTGATTTCTGAAATGCCTTCAAGGAACTTAATCTAGTGACTGGCATATGTTAGGATCTCTGGATATAGAATTTACTATAATTTATTTTCTTAGTTTTATAAGACAAAATAAGCTAGTTAGAATGGTCAGTTATCTACTGATCTAAGGTAAAAAAAAGCCTTAATTACTCTCTGTGCCTGATTTCCATAAATAATTTTTTTAAAATTTGGAATAATGCATTGTTAAATTTCAGTACACAAATATATACATTTAAAAATCTATTTTTCTTATCTATGAGTTTTTTTAGATGAGATATTTTGCATTTTTACAGCTTACATTACTATTTGTAGTCGTGTTCCCCAACCTATCAAAATGAGAGGAGACCTGGTAATTGCTTTGAAGAGTGGAAAGATGTACTATTTTCTGTATTAAAATACTCATTTTTATATCAGATTGTTTGTTCAATTATGTTTTCAACTTATTTTTCAGCTGCTCCTGTTGATGTACTAAAAGCACTAGATTTTCACAGTTCTCCAGAGGGAATATCAAAAACAACAGGATTTTGCACAAACAGAAAGAATTCAAAAGGCTCAGATACTGCTTACAGAGTTTCAAAGCTAGCACAACTCAGTGCCCCAACAAAACAGTTATTCCCAGGTATGTTCGCTTCATTATTTTACTACTGTCACTATTAGTGTTGTCAATAGTATTATTTCTGTTTCTTTGCTGATTGTTTCTTTTGATCATGCTATATAAGATACAATTATAGGCTGAAATGGATGTTTAGTGAAATATATAATAACTCTTTTTAACATGATGAAATGCTAAGAAAATATTTTGTGGCTATATTATTTTTGTATGTAATTATGTAAAACTTAATCATTAGGACCAGTGTGGTTTTGAGGGAAACCTTACTCTTTATGACTATTTAGGTTAATTTAATAGGCATGTGGATTTAGATATATTTGGTGCATATTTTTCTAATATTAATATGGGTGCTTTTATTGAAAGGAATAGTTCTTGGAAGATATTAATCTTACACTATTCTTGCATGCTAGTTTTATTTGAAATATAATAAAAATAGTTGTATGTTACAATTGCTAGGAGCTATGGGACTAGAGATTTTAAGACTTCACCTGACAAGTTTTCATAATGATATTAAAAAATACTTGGTAAATATGTTCTTTTCCTCTATGAAATCGTTAGCTGATATAATAACACTAATTATCTGTTAACTGCAGTAATGCAGGAGAAAGGGTATCGTATTTCCTCAGCAGGTAACTTATTATGTCTCCTTGTAGCTGATACATGTTAGTTATATGAGGTGTGATTGAAACATATGGTGTGTGTTTAAACAAAATTTTATTATAGTAGAAGACACATTGTCAGTTAATCCTCCTCAAAACAATCCCCCCTCAGTTTGAACACATATCTTGTTATTATTGCCATTATTTTTAGTAGTGGTGGAAGTCTTCTTTTGTGAGTGTCTTTAGTTGAGCTGCCATGACTGCTTTGATGTCCTGAATCAATTCAAGTATTTATCTTTCATGGTCATTTCAACATGGCGAAAGAGCCAGAAGTTACAAGGTGCCAAATCCATTGAATAAGGATGAGGATGCACCATCATGTTTTCAAGAGTCCATGTTTTCATTGGAATGGCACTGGACAGACAGAACTGTTCATACTTTTGATCACAACTTGTAAAGTCAGTCATGAAAGAGGATTTCCAGAGCTGCCCAAAAAAGTGGCAAGTGTTTTTGAAATGAAAGAGCGTATTCTAAAAGAGATAAATGGCAATGCGTTTTACCTTAATAAAGAGTTTTAATTTAAATATTAATCGTAGTTTTTGGTCGTGCCTTATAAATGTTATTAGTTCAAGTCACATGTCTGCATCCCTATTAAATACAGGAGGAAACTGAAATTCACAAATGTCTCTTGTTGATCAAGGTAAATGAGGGTCAGTATTTATTCTAAGTCTGTCTTGTTGCAAGACCAATATTTAATATATTGTCAAATGCTCCCTTGTGGTGCTTTCAGAACTTCTCAACTACAATTTAAATTCTTCATATTCTCTTATGCTTTGTGTAGTTAAATAGGAAACTTACATTTACTATTTTCATATAAAAGTATATTTACCAGTGAAAAATATGAATCAGGCTATTAAAATTGTAAAACAACAAAGTATACTTTTCATGGAAGTACTTTGAAAATTCTTGTTTTGTTCATATATTGGATCTCCTAATGCTTTCCAGTACCATAATTTATAATAAGCAAAAGTAATAAACTGCATATACGAAAAATATAATGCACAATTTTTCTGATTTTGAAAATTAAAGCTTAAACTAAATCATACCATATTTTTAAAGTCAATAGAAACATTTTAAATATTTAATTTTTTAAATTAATTGCACATTGATGCATACCCTAATATATTTCTAATAGGAAAAGTGTTGAAGATTTTGAAAAGAGAAAACAGAAAGAAGTAGATGAGTGGAAATGTAGAAATACTCAAAAAGTTTAAAGTTTCTTTTCATAATTGGCTAAAGGTCAGTTTTTTCTGCATTCCAGTGTGGTTATTAGTAAAATTTTATTCCATTTCAGTTAATAGAACTTACTTTTCTATATAAGTTTCTCCCCTTCTCAAAACATTGTGTCTTACACATATGATTCCAGTAATGAATATTTCACATGAAAATGAACATTTATAATAGGTACCTCATATAAATGATTCTAAGGTTACATTTATAGAGGGTAGATCTGCCTGTCAATTAATTCCTGTCTTTTATTAAAGTACAATTAATTGTACAATTAAAGTACAGTATCAAAATAGTGGATATCAATTATAAAATAAGTAAAATGATCTTTAAAAACTAGATTTAGGTACCCTATCTTCTGTTACAGGAAGATATAAAAGCCACTTATTTTCTAATGAATAATGTAATCAGGAGTATTGGAAATTTCATTAATGGGATGAATAGGGTTTTTCAGATACAGTCATTAAAGTATTTTGCTGGAATTAAGATGTACAGTCTACAAAACTCCAGTTGTTATCTTTAAGTGTCTGCTAGTTTATGTTGGAATTGAATAGAAATGGATTTGCATGTTCAGTTTCTTTTCTTTAGAATACCTTCCACCAGATAGACATCATATAAAAACTTTTATATATATGGACTCATATCTTCATAGTCATCGGAGGGGAGGAATAGTTAAACTCCATTCAAGGATAAAGAATTGAATAGATGAAGTATTTGAGTGTAACTGAAACCAAGAATAATATTAAGCTGGGAGACTTTCTGTTTTCTCTTAAAGTATGTTCATCACACTCTACAAAATGGCTTTCTGACATCAGTTAAAAATTTTTCTGGACCACTATTCTACAAAATAATTATATTTTACTTAAAGATATATTCTGCATGAGAAAATATTCATCACAATTTAAAAATTAAAATCAAATAATCTTACATCTTTTTATATCAAATTTATTCATGGACATATCTGTTGGTTCTAAATATTAAGTATCAGTATTCATAATTCTATTCTCATAATGAACCATGACTATCATTACATATATGGATAAATTTATAGCCACATATATCAAATAGTATAGTAATAGCTTTTATTTTTCTTTTTTCTCATACTGGGAGTTGAACTCAGGGAATTTACATTGAGCTACATCCCCAGAACCTCCTCCTACCCTGTCAATTTTTCACGAATTTGCCCAGGCTAGGATTGAATTTGTGATCCTTTCTGCATCAACCTCAAAAAAGTCCTGCATTATAGGCAAGAACCACCATGCCCAGTTGTAATGGAATTTCTTTAAAATGGTTATTTAACATGCTTTATTCTTAGTTGGTACACTCATGTTTCAGGTATAGTATAGAATGCCACATTTTACCTGTGCTGTATGTATACTAATTACTGCTATTTCAGGAAAAATTTTCCATGAAAGATGGAACATTTCTGTTATTGATAATATGTGAATTCTACTTGACAAATAAACTCACTTAAGAATAGTGTTGATTGAAATTTTATATGATGGTAACTAAGGTAGTATCTAGATTAGGCTGGGAATTATACCATCAAGTTACGATTTTTTGATAGCTGAATGTAAGTTTGAAGCATAAAAATTATAATTAAAAATTTAATGGTAAATTTTAAATTGGAAAATAGAAATATTTTCCTAATGGAAATATTTTAGTCACTAGAGTAATATATAATTTTTAAAATTTATAATATGTAAATTGGAAAGATAAATAAAATATTTACAAATAGTTTAGTCTTATATTAATATATTGTGTTCTGAAATTTCTCCTTTCTTAAATTTCTGTACATGGCTATTTTTTCACAATTTCTTTTTAGAAAATAAACCGGTGTTGCATTCCCTTAGCTCATAATATTTTAAAATCACTTACTTTCACAATTGTATGAACTTTTAGAAACATTGAGATAGATTCAAAATAAGAATTCCTACAATTTTCAACATTCTGAAGTACTCATGTGAAGAAGTTTATTTGCTATAAACCTTTTTCAACAATAAGTTGAATTACCCATACTGACATTTATAATATTGGCAAGAAAAAAAGAAAATCTTTGTTAACTGATGTGCATATTACCTTTCTACTTTCTTCCTATAATTATTTTTCTTATTTTAATTTTCACAAGTATTAATTTATATTTTCGGAACATTAAAACAAATTAAAGTTTGAAGATATGGCTCAGTGGTGCAGCAATTGTCTGGAAGATGTTAGACCCTCAATTTGATATTTAGCACATCAAAAATAAGTCAATTTGAATGTTACTATATATATATATATAAAGTTTCATATTTATATATTTATATATTTGAAATATATATATTTATATATATTATATATATTTCATATTCATATTTATATATTTATATAACTTTATATATATAAAGTTATATATATAAAGTTATATATATATAACTATATATATAGTTACATACTTGTACCTCGTTATATACATAGTTATATACATATATACATTCTTATGCAGCTATGTACATATATAATTATAAGATGCATATATTACATATATCATATGTATGTATACATACACATATGCATGTATAATACATATATAGTTATATACGTATTGCATATAAAAAATAAAGTGGAACTGAGCAGAGCTTGCTGTTGAGCTAGACAGATACATGGACTTTTCTGTGATAGTGTTGAGAATCTTGAAATATATGGTTTCTAGTTTGGAGTTTAATATTTTATGTATACACACATACACACACATATGTGTGTATATATTCTGAGTAGTAAACACCCTCATTTATTTAGCATGACAGCTTTGTGGAACAGATTATTCCATATTCCAAGTTAGTGCATGAGGTGATCATTTGAATTGAATGACCAAAAAGATCCAGAATTTTTAATAGCAATAGTGTACTACTTTCCAGTAAACTATTGTTATTCATATTTATAGCATAAAACTATACTCATAATGCTTGATATTTTTCCTTTGTAGCACAGTTTAATAGTTTCCACTACAAAATTAACTTTGTACCATTAAGTGGCTTCATTGATTCCACTATGTAGGTATGTGTTCTTTCATTCACTTAGCCTAAATCAGTGCAACCCATTTTAATATTTTACTTCTTTAAACAATGCTTTGATAAATCTATAGCATTTAGTCTTTCCTGTAAGCATTGTCTCCTTATACATTTTTAGAAATGCAATGCTGATATTTTATAATATTTTTAATTTGAACTATGACAGTCATATTATGTTTTATCGCTTAATATTACTGCCTGTAGTAGGATTTGAAGTAGATATTTTGAATATAAGAGATCTTCATATTGTCCTTAACCTTGCCACTTACACATAGACATACATCTATTGTACAAATGGATACCTTTGTAATAGAAATAATCTCATTCCTCAGATAATATTGCCTGTTTTTTATGTAATAAGATAATAAGAGGATATAATAAAACATACATGCAAATCTACTTACAGAAATAAAAACCACAATTTATTGTGTGACTTTTTATAAAGTTGTAATAAGGAATTAATGCTTAACTGTCTTAAGATGAACTTATTTAACATATGTTTAGGTACCATCTCTATAGGTTGCCCATGTCAGTATTTGAGATATGCCTATGGAAAGAAAAAACAAAAGAAAGAGCAATATGCCTCTTGAACTGAGAATTGATTTAAGTACTTAATAACTCTGCTTTTTTTCTACTGTGTGATAGGAACAACTGATTAAAATCTCTTTAACTTTTGAAAAGATGCTAAAAATAATACTTTTCTGTATTATGTCATTGAAATGTCTCTTTTAAGAGACAGTGTCTGGCTATGCAGTAGACAAAGCCAGATAATATAAGCATTGCTCCAAAATAGTACTTAAATAACTGTATTAAGAAAACTTTCCTTGCATTTGATATTGGGCTGGCACCTGAATCTTGTTTCCAACCTTTAATTCAGTTTCATATAATCATGCTTTAAATGAATGGCTTTAAAATTTGCATATAATTTGGATCAACTGTACAGCGAAAATGTGAGTCAGAGTCTTGCCATATCCACCCTTTGTTAGTGAACTTTTCATTGCTATGGAAAAACACCTGAGAAAAGCAACTGGAGGAAAGAAAGTTTTACTTTAGTTCATGATCTCAGATGTTTCGGTAGATGATGACTGCTCCATTATTTCTGGGCTTGTAGTTAGATGGTGCATCTTGGCAGAAGGGCAGGTGTGAAAAGCTGCTCACCTCCTTGCAGCCAGTAAGCAGAGAGGGGAACAGAGTTTAAGAGGGAAGTACCAGGAAGCCAAGATGTACTCTAAGTTGTGCCTTCGTGATCCTCTCTCTTTTAGCTATGAATGCATCAATAGATTAATCTGTAGCTAAAGGTTAGACTTCATGGTCTAATCACCTTCCAAAAATCTCTCCTGTAACATTTCTGCATTGGGAATAATGTCTGCAACACAAGAGCCTTTCAGGGGACATTTTAGATCCAAACTATAACACGTCCTATTGGCATTAAATGTTACTATTAAATGTAGAGGACTGGGCCATGCTGATACTCTGTTGTAGGAACAGTTTTCAAGCCCAGAATTTCTAAGTCTTTGATCTTCTCTTCTCAGGTGGAAGTTTTCCAGAAGATTTTTCAATATTGTTTACAGTAAAACCTAAAAAAGGAATTCAGTCTTTCCTTTTATCCATATATAATGAACATGGCATTCAGCAAGTTGGTGTTGAGGTTGGTAGATCGCCTGTTTTTCTGTTTGAAGACCACACTGGAAAACCTGCCCCAGAAGACTACCCCCTCTTCAGAACTGTTAACATCGCTGATGGGAAGTAAGTGACATGGTGATCACATGTGTTTGTTATGCTGAAAACAATGCTTTCAGTCATTTGATGAATATTTATGAAGCCTGATGTAGTTTTGTTAGGGGCTGGTGAAAATAACAACAACAAAAAAACTTAACCTAGCAAATTTACTTCACTATCAGGTAAGCGTCTATTAAAAAATTGAAAATGTATCAATAAACATGTCAAGTATAAATGAGAGAGGAAATAGAGCAGTGGAGAAAGTAGGGAAGGGCAGAGCATGGAGCAAGCTGGGCCAACCCCACTGAAGTGATGTGTGGGGAAGGCGGGGCCTCTATACTGAGAATGGCAAGCATTGTGCTCCAGGAGGACAAGAGACGAGTGCAACCTGTGATCAGGGTACCTGTGACCCACTTGTTCCAAGCAACGTGAAGTGAAGGAGAACCAGCATGGCAGGAGCGGAGTTGATGTTTAAGATGGAAAACCAGTGGGAGGCGAGATAGTGTGAACATGGTAGGGGGGTTTAAGAGATATTCTGTTCTCAGTAAGATAAGTCACTGAAACCTTTTTAAGCAGGGAAATGTTCTAATATGAATTTGTTTTTACCAGTAATATTGATATTGATGATTATAGGAAGCCTTATATAACCTTGGATAAATGCTGTGTACTGTTCTAACCACCTAATATATAAGTAGCTCAAATGTCATAAATATTTAAAGAAAATAACATTAATAAAATTACAGATAAGAAAATTGAGGCACAGAAAATTTAAGGTTAAAAGCTTGGAAGGTGATAGAAGTGGTATTTAAATTTAGATAGAACAGTCTTCTTAATTATGGTACAGCAGCATACAGAAACATGCAAAAAGTTTACTGCATAGACTTGCTGAGTTCAGACTGCTAAAATTAGTATTATCAAATCTAGAACATTTGCTGTATATCTATGCAAGAATAACTATACAAATTACCAGGCAAAAATAAACCAACAACAAAAAAACGAAATATATATTCATTGTGTCTTTGTCACAACCACAGAGAAATCCTCAAGTATGAGAGTTGGGAAAATTTGCTTTCACAATAATTTATAATCTTATCTTACAGACAAATAAAGTATTATTTCATATTGTGCTTCCTATTTAGAACAATACTAAATGTTGCATTTATAATATTATTCATAGTTTTTATGATTTCATCTTGCTCTTTTAACTAAAAAATGAATTTATTGCCACCCACATCCTATTTGAAAATTAATAATGTTTAGTGTGAACAAATTGTTAAAATATGAAAAATATTAAATAAATATTTTTGATTAATTGTCAAACAGAAAAAAAAATTTATATTTACTTATCTCACAGTGGTAAAATATTTCCTTAATGATATTTACCTGAAGTAATACATATTCATTCACTTTTGCATTCATGTATTCATTCAGTAATGATTCATTAAATGCCTCCAATGTGCCAACAATATATTACTCAGTTTGGCTTTTAAAATACGACATTTATTGAAACCTACTGGCATAGAAACAATTTAAATGCAAAAAATTGGTATTTAGCACACTTTAATTTGTTGAGAGCAATCATAACATTCTCACAAATAGCCAGGCATTCATTTCATAAGTATTTATATGCTATCTACTCCTTGGCCAGTATTTTTAATATTATATACTATGTGATTTTGATGTTACATTGTTACCACAGTAGAATTACTTTAACAAAAATACCAACTTTAGAGTTCTGATAAACTTTTAACAATTAAAATTATTTTATTTTCTGCTATTGCAAAACACATATTTGCAATACTAGAAATAGTTTAAGTTAAACCACAGACTTCTTGGCATGAACTATGTGTAAATTTTACTCACACTGTATTATGTGACTCCTTATATAAATCTTTGCTTCATTTGAGCTAAGCAGAAACCTATGCTAGTTGAATCTGCCAGTGGAAAGATCAAACATTAAGTAGTGTATATGGAAATATACCTGGTTCTCATTAGAAGCCATGCCAAGTATCATGAAACAGACCTTTTAGGATGGTTCCTGCAGGGTTTTGGGTACTTTATTTTATGGATCTAGTCCCAGACACTTCTGGGATATTAATCTAGCACTTTTCCCTTGGAAAAAATATAAAGCAGAGTGGGTTGCTGAATTCAGGTGAGTCTCACATAGTAGTTTATATTAGCACCAGATACTGTTAACAAAATCCACATTTTTTACCATATGGCTGGAGCATGTGTTTCCAAAGATCTGGCCATGTCTCCTCCTCTAAGCTTGTCACCACCGTGAATTAACTGAAGCAGTAGTCCAGAGGGAAGTGAGACTGTCACTGCACACATGTGCTAACCATGCTGTCTTTACTGTTCCCACTTCCTGCCACTCCTGGAACGAAGGGGAAATATTGTGTCTCAGTCTTGGATCCTACCCACAGTAGTGATCTATAACTGTTCTTGAAATTAAAATGGAAAAAGAGAACAAAAGTACTTGAAATAAATGAGAATAAAGACAGAGCAGCACATTGTGTTTTACAATTAGAACATGCAGTTGCTCCAGATGGTGCAGTCATTCAGTTAGTAGATGTACCCTTTGCAGTCAGTCTCGGGATCACAAGAGCAGAATTTTTCAAGGTGGAATTCCTCTTTGGAAGAAAGCATTTATGGTACATAGAAACTGTTGCTTACTCTGTATCCCTTTTTAGTCTCTATCAAAAACCCTCATCAGGATACAGTGAGATTTAACTTGTATTGCTACAACACAAAATGAAGCAAAGGATGGGCACTTCCTTGTCAGTTTAGTCAGCTAATCCTGCTGTGCATCTTAAATTGCTGAGTCTTTTTGAATACCTAGCATTGTGTGTAGTAGTACACACAGTATGTAGTCATTTGCTAGACAATTGATTCATAAATGAGTGTGCAATTTTGTACCATTTCAGCTAATTTTTGTGATTTAAAATATACAGTACGTGAACATGAATAGTAGTTTGGCAGCCAATGCTATTGAACTAACAAAAGAATTACTTGACTTTTTCAGGTGGCATCGGGTAGCAATCAGTGTGGAGAAGAAAACTGTGACAATGATTGTTGATTGTAAGAAGAAAACCACAAAACCACTTGATAGAAGTGAGAGATCAATTGTTGATACAAATGGAATCACAGTTTTTGGAACAAGGATTTTGGATGAAGAAGTTTTTGAGGTAAAAATAAATCAATCAGAAATTAAAAAAAGCTGAATACAGTTAAATCAGATGAACTAAGTTAATAACAGTGACAATCAAAATATGTTATAAAGCTAAGTTAAAGTATGAAAGGTGACCTACTTTCTTCCTCTGTGGGTGTAGCAGTGATGTTTTCTATTGTTCAGTTAGAAAGTGATTAGACAATGCCAACTGGAAACCTTTGCAGAGATTGGCTGCTTTGAACACAGGTGTGCTATTCTCTAGGGAAGGACAAATAACTTTATTCTTAGTATTTTGTATTATTTTCTTTGGAGAAAATACCATTTTCTTCATTTTCTCCTGTGGAAGATTAATTCAGAGAAGTATGCAAGTCTTATATTCTGCCTTGCTTTTTTGTGTTTAAGTGCTTGCAATATAGATATCGTATTGCGAAAGAGAAGTTTAAATTTCTAAATTATTTTATTTAAATAATGTGAAGATCATGGTAAGAAGTTTCTTCCAGTTATACTTCACTAACTGAGATAATTGCATGATTTCTCTTAATTCTTCATTCTTTGCATCAGGTAACTCAGGCTTTCATTTTCAGCTATTTTTTAATAGAACAAACAGATTTGAGTCCTCATCTCATAATCAAATGCACTTCTCATAGACATAACTCATTGTTTTTATGATTGTTTTAACACAATCTCTGAGTCATTTATTCTTCAGAGTGTAATAATCGAAATGATGTGGCATAGTATAGATAAAGCACACATGGGAGGTTTGCTGCATTTTGTTGATGTATCAATGAATGTACTTATGCACATATATACTTTTGCACACATATTTCTACATATAGACAAAGATAATATATATTGTTTTGCAAGGAACAATGTGAATTTATTATTCAGTTTACATTTAGATCATATATGAAGCCTATGACATAATGTTAAGTATAATTACCACTCATGGCACTTTTAGGTTATTTGGAATTACTTTTGTTTATTTTTTTCACTACTATATACCTAAGCCACTGGCAGTATAGTATACTTTAATCCATTATATTATGCTGAATTAAATAGTAACCTGATTCAGTTAATATTAATTGTAACGTAAACTCATATTCCAATGCAATTCAGTGTTTACATGCAAAATGATAGACAATTATTTGTTTATTAGAAGAATGAGTATTAAAAACTATTATAATTTCAAGTGTTAGAGAATCTTATTTTAAAATAAAGTCTGTAGTTTTACAAACTATTATAGTAGACATTTTTATAACAACTACAACCTGATTTTCTAGGTTCATAAATTAGTAATACGGAATTTGTCTTCTCCTTTTATTCCTTCTTTCATTTCTCTCCCTCCCCTTTCAATTAATTCTTTAAACTGTATCATACCATGTTCCAGTCCTGGAGTGATTTCAACTATTTGTAGAAATTTAAAACCCTAAGAAAAGTAATTTAAAATAGATTCTTTAATGAGTACTTTAGTAAGCATGGTAATGCATAGTACTGAAAAATAAATTTATTAAGGCTGCTTTGCATTTTAGAAATTATGAAATCCTATGAAACTTTAAATATTTATTTGCCATGAAGTATGAATAGTTTTAAAATATGCATGAATGCTTAGCCTTTTACTATCAAGATCATATTTCAATAACTTTGATCAGGTAAATAAGGAAGCTATTTTTACTTAATAAAGTGTTGTGAAAGCTTTAAAAAAATTGCCTGAATTGGGTGAAATTTTTTATTAATTGAATTCACATATGCAAATAGTCATCATATGTAAGAATCAGGTCTTACTAAATAGCTTTACTTTATGAATATGTGAAATTTCAAAAACAATATAGTTTTCACTTGAAAATAAAGCATGAAGATGATAAATGATTCCAGTGTATAAACTTTTAAATCAGAAATAAAAATTCCTTTTGTGAAATGCTGCATTCTATCTGAATGTAATTTAATATATCTTTCACTAAAAATTTTTGTTCAAATATGTTTGCTTTCATTTTCCTTTACATTATGTTATCTACTTCGACTTTCAAGTCTTCATAAATGTATATATAAGTTTAACCTAGAAATGACAAGAGATGGAATGGTACTTTAGTGATAAGCAGGTAGAATAATAAAGTTGCTAAGATAACACCAGTGTTTCATTAGTGTCAAAATTAGAAGTCACATTTTAGAATTATAGTAATTAAAATTATTTGAAAATTTGTTAAGGGTGTATTATTTCATGTATACAGTACCTTACACTTCCACAATAGAACCTGTAAGCCAAAACATATTAAACATGATTATATTTGAATTGACAACTGGTGAATTTTAAGAATCCAACAACAAAAATAAAACTAACTTTAAAATTTTCATAAGAGTGATTTACATGAAAATGCCATGGTGGATTTATAGACTCATGATTTATAATTTTAGCACAGTTAATTTATTATGAGATTGAATTTTATAGTGAGAAATGCCAGATTTTTAATTCTGGCATATAGTTTAACATTTGCCTTTCTGTGTATAATTATTTTATGAAAATTCAAACCTTCATTCTTTAAAAGGTAAATAGAATCCTTATAAATATTTAAAAAAATAACAACTAATATATTTAAGTTGCTTAGTATAGTAGTATGTGTTTACATATCTGTACTCATGTTATATATAAGAAGTTATACTTCTTAATTTAATTATGCACCATTGTGTTGTTTTCTGTATGATTTTTACTATTTTGTATAATTTTTCTAGCTGTAAATTTTCAGATACTTTTGTGTTTTTTGTGTGTTTTGATATGGGTAAATCCTAATATGTCTTTTTGACTGTCTTGTAAATAAAGGTCTCTTTTCTTGGGTAACTGCTAGCTTATAAAGTATCTTTAAAATGTTAGATAAATTTCACAACTCCTCCTACTCCAGACAGACATAAAAACGTAAACTCTAAAATGTTTATTGCTATTTTTATGAAGATTTTACGATACAATATTAATAAAAAAGTTACTGTTTTATATTAGAAACAGTTTTAAATACTATAAAGAAAAAACCTTAGAAAGATCAAATAAAAGATGTCCATACCTTCAATTCATAAAAAACAGTACAAAAATGTGTATAAATAAGAGCTATAGAGCATGTTCAAACAAACAAAAACTCATTGTTCTCAAAATGGCAAATTCTTCATTTTGGTATATAGCTCAGTTGAAATCTTCATTAAAATCACAACTGTTTCATAAAAATTAATAAGCATATTATAGTGTTTAGAAAAATGCAAATGAGCTAAAATAACTAAAAATGTTTTACAAAAAGGTAGGAATATTTTTCTCTTGATTTCAAAATTTCTACAAAGCTACTCTTATCCATATATTTTGTTTTTAATAAAAACATGGGCAAATAAATCATTAGAATGTAACAGAGAGAGTGCAGTAGTGGATATATTCAGTTGTGGTTGATGAATTTCTGATTAGAAGCCAAGGCAATTCAATGAATGACAGTAAAATCTTCTTCAAGTATGCTGAACAAATTGGATATATTTATGGAGAAATAGTAATCATTGATATTCATGTCACAGATTCACAAAATTTTCTTCTGAATGTTAAACTGTCCTTACACATAACCTAGAAACTTTCCAATCTTCTTGCATCTAATCTTTATATTTGTCATATATATTTCTACGTATGTAAAAAGCATCACTAGATATTATAGTTTTTGTATGAACAAGTCACAGGTATTTTTGAAACTCTTAAGAAATGTAACTTCATTTCTAACCAAATAAGTCATTTGTTTTAATGTCTTATGTTTGAGGATCCAGATTTCTCTGGGTATAATTCTTTACCTGTCTAAATTCTTTTACCTTGTCTTAGCATTTCTTGTACAGCAGATTTGCTCTGTTGTCTTAGTGGTCTGATGTATGAGATAATTATTTCACCCTCACGACAGGAGAATATTTTTCACTGACTTTGGAAATCTGGATTAACAATATTATTTTAGTACTGTAAAAATATTCCCTAGTTTTCTGACCTCTTTGACAATACAAAATTCACATTTTAATCTCATATTTTGTGATTTTTTTTTTGCTTCTGTTAATACTAAGATCTTTCTATTTTATTTTCAGCACTTTGAATATGAGGCATTGTTTTGTTTCAATTTATTTTGGGGGATTCAAGGAGAAATTTAAATTTGTAAGTTAATGTCTTCCAACAGAAATAGTTTTCACTTTAGTGTGAAGTATAGCTGTCATATTCTTTTCAGTATAGCTCCTCTGCCTCTTGGAGAAGATTTACATCAGCTGTTAAAACCTTCTGAGAATTTAGTGTTTGAATCATCTCAGGACTGTCCTCTATTTATCCTTTTGTTGTTGCCTATAGGTAAACTTTATTTCTTTATTTTGATTCACAACAAAATTAAGCCTAGAGTGAGTTTCATACTGTACGTCTACACACACACTCACACACACACTCACACACACACACACACACACACACACACACACACCTTTCCATTATCAACTTGTTATAATTGGTATACATACGTATAAGTATAGTTTTCAAGTGATGGTACATGCCTGTAATCCTAGCACTTGACAGACTGAGGCAGGAGGATTGTTGAAACTTTGAGACCAGCCTGGGTTACAAAGTTAGCTCAAGGCCAACCTGAACTGCATAGTGAGACTGTATCAAAAAGAAAAAAAAAGTCTGTAGTTTTCATTATGGTTCATTCTTGGTTGTGTATATTCTACAAGTTTAGACAATTGTGTGATGATATGTAGTCACCATTTTCATATCTGACAGAATAGTTTACTACCCTAAAATTTCTCTGCATGTACTTTATAGGTGCTGCACCTATTTATCTCACTCTTTTGCTAAGCTATGTCAGCTGTATGACTGTACTGCGTTTTGTTCATTTACCATCTAAACAGCATCTTGGCTGCTTTAATGTTTTTGAAACTATGATTTAAACTTCTACAAATCCCTGTACTGGTATTTGTGTACCAGTTTTCAAATAATTTAGATAAATATCAAAGAGTGTGCCTGTTGACTGTTTAGTTCTG